ACAAAGAAAGAAAGAGAGGAAGAAAGGAGAGGTAACAGGGAGGGGGAGAATGAACTTCAGGGTTTTTACAGAAAATTACAAAGGGATATTTCAAGTTTAGTTCCAATTACTTTTATGGTACTGATGATTCCAACAGAAAGACACAAATCTTGTGTTGAGCTCAACCAATCAGAGTGAGCTGCCTACTCAAAATAATATAGTGACAAACTCTTGAGTATCAGTTCAACCAGGACATGACACCTATAGCCAGTGTCTCTTCATAATATAAAAGCTGTTTTCTTATTGGCTCATCCATTTAAGCACAAATATAAGACCTTGTGAATCCAGTTATTGATTTTAGATGTATCCTTATTATAATTCCCCGCTCTATAAGCAAACATGCTAAACTTTAACACAAACTTCAGTGAGAATTTCTTTGCCTCAAGGTGCTTCTGCAGTAGATGGGCTTTTTTTTTTTAAGAGAGAGACTGTATGCATCACGGGGGCCGATCAATAGACACTGTCGGCTTTTCATGTCCCCATGAGAAGAACAAATAAAGTGGTAAGTTATATCCAATACTGCATCTGTTGGTGCTTGGCCTACTATATATTAGGGAGAGGTACATCGAGAGACTGAACTCATAGGTCATTTGCATGCCTGGGCGACTCAAGAGGGATAAAATGGTGAAGAAAACACAAAGAAGAGAACGAAGAACTGAAGCCTGAGAGGGCGACAGAGAGAAGCGAGACAAGAGCGAAGACACTGGAGAGACAGGTAGAGGGACAGAGGAAGTGTTAAAGAAAGAAAGACAGAGAAAGAAAGAAAGAAATAAAGAAAGAGGCAGCTCTGCTTCTCTTCCAGACAATGACAAGCAATGTAGCAAAGGACGGCCACATTGTACAACAAGATACTGTACAATACATAGGATTCATAACTGATACAGTGTGTAGTCAAATGAATTGGAAATGTGAACAGGAGTGGATCAAGGGTTCTAATAAGGTGTTGTGGCAATTACAGAGTGATCATCGGACACATTAAGTAAAGAACACCAAGACAGCATGAAAGAGGTAGAACGAGAAAGAACGAGTGCGAGCAAAAAGAGAGATACAGTATGTGAGGTAGTATGTGCATGTTTATAAGTTAATAAACTTATGTACATGTGTCTGTCGCTCCTACACATCAGGGTGCAGACAGAATGCAGAAGAAGAAGAGAAAAAAGGGGAAGGGACAGGAGGGGAAAAGACAGGGAGGTGGAGATAAAGAGAGGATTAGAAGAGGGTTTCGGGGAAGGAGGGAAAAGGGGGAAGAAAAGAGGAGCGAGGAAGAAGAAACACATGGATCTATTTAAAAAACACTGCTATATACCAGAGTCAGACCCATTCAGAAACTAGGTGCTTCAAAAGTGAGAAGGAAAAAAAAAAGTCTACTAGAAATCGGATGCCGAAGGAACAAAGAAGTGGATACTCCAGGGTCACAACACAGGGAACAGAAAGAGACAGAGAGAGGGATGGGCAAACGTCTCTAGACGAGAGGAGAGAATGAAAGGGAAGGCAGACAGAGAGTAGAAACACTGTTGAAAACAACAAGACAATGTAAAGCAACACATGTTCGAAAAGTAGAAGGTACAAAAACAGTTAGATAAAAAAAATGCTATAAAACCCTACAGTAGCAAAACAATGAAAGCATTATTAATAAAGAAAAC